CTAAACGTTTTAAGACCAGGCTGAGAGAAGAGGAAGGAGGGACTCCTCAGCCTACTTCACTTCCAAAGAGAGAGCTTAGGATCTCTTAGCTGGAGTCAGCTCTGAACTCCAGCTGCACATAAAAGTCACGTGGAGAGTGTTAATACTAGTCTGGGTCCCATCCCAAACCAATGCAATTAGAGTCTTGAGTAAAGGATAGCATTGGCATTTTTTAAAAGCTCTCTTGATGATTCTAACGTGTAGCCAGAACTGAGAATCACAACTTCAGATCTGTATGTCACTTCACACTTATCAAAGACTTTTTCCATTAATTATCTTAACCCAAGGGAGGCCAGGGAGGAAGCTGAGGCTAAGGGAAAGAAATTCAGACTGCTCTGAACCCATCTCTCAGCCTTACGAAAGCCCCTGGTGCCATGTTCCCTCCACTCCTAAGGGATGGAAAAGAATTTCCTAACTTGGGCACACCCTCAAGAGGAACACAATCCCTCCCTCGGGAGGACAGCACGGTGGGATGGAGGAAAACCAAGAAATTATTGGAGGCGAACAAGAAGAGCCCACAAATACAGAAATTGTTGTTGTTGTTGTTAATGTGCCGTTGAGTCAGGCCTGACTCATAGCGACCCCTCGTTGGGTTTCCGAGGCAGTATCACTACGAAAGTAGATTGCCCCATCTTCTTTCTGAGGAGTGGCTGGTGGGTTTGAACCACCAGCCTTCTGGTTAGCAGTCAAGTGCCTTAGGCACTATGCTACCAGAGCTCCCAAATACAGAAATAGGAGCCTGGAAATACATGTGTGTGGTTGGCAGGGTGAGGGGTGCTTGTCCTGGGGAGGCTCTTAGTAATGGGAGAGGTCCCCCCAAGAATGAGTCTTCATTAGAAAATGGACTTAATCTCATTGGATTCTTCTTAGGACCCCAAAAGCTCATGAACGAAGTTCCAGGGTAATAATAAGCTTGGTTTATTGAAGGAGTCCCTGGGGGTGCAAACAGTTAAGCGCTCAGCTATTAATCAAACCCGCCCAGAGGTGCCTCAGAAGAAAGGCCTGGAGATCTGCTTCTGAGAGGTCAAAGCCATGAAACCCTCTGGAGGACAGTTCTACTCAGCAGCAAATGGTGTTGCCACGAGTTGGAATTGACAGCAGCTGGTTGGTTGGTTTAGGGTTATGGAGCACCAATGAGTTGGATGCAGTTAATGCACTCAGCTGCTAGCTGAAGTTTGGAGTCCACCCAAAGGTGCCTCAGGAAAAAAATGCCTGGTGAACTACTTCTGAAAAATCAGCCACTGACACCCCATGAAGCACGTACTACTCTGACACACATGGAGTCGCTATGAGTCAGAGTTGACTCAACAGCAACTGGTTTGGTTTATGAGATAAATACCACCAGTAACTCCATGGTAGACATGAGGAAATAGAGACACACAGGTTCAATAACTGGCCCAAGATCACTCCGATAGTAAAGGACAGAGCTGAGATGCAATCCGGACTTGCACTCTTAACCCTTCTGCTATCCTACCTCTGCATATAATCCAACAGTAACAAAAATTGAAACAGGGACATCTCTTGTTCCAGGTGGGATGAAACTGCTGGCCAATGTCTCTGATGGACAGGTTCTGGCTTCTGTCCCAGATGAAAGAATGTGGATGGGGCTGCAGAAGAGAGGAGAGTGTATCTCCTCATTCCAAACACCGCGCAGAGCCACAAGCCTCTGACCCAGAGGAGTGGTCTGCTTTTCAGAGAGAGCGTTGATGATGCTCCAGTCCAGGTGGCTGGAACAAGAAGCTATTACCCAGCCCATAGAGAGGCCGGGAAGCTCCTCAAAGATTTACAAAAAGGAAGAGGCAGGAACCTAGGAGCAATTCCTGATGGCTTCCACAGCAGAAAGAGCCACCAGTGTCCCAGCTCCAGGGGAAAAAAAAATGTTTTATGACAAACCCACAGGTCCAGAATGTCACAGGTCGTTTAGAAATTGGGGAAATGACATCCACAGAAGGTAAGGTCTTGAAGCTTAGGCCAGTGCTGTGCCAGCAAAGTAGCTGGCAAGAAAAGCGCATTGCCACAACTGGATGGAGGCTCTGGCTTTTCCCAAGCAGAGGTCTCTGCCTAAGAACTCTGCTGCTAGTCCACGGATGCCCAGTGGATTTAGGGTTGCTTTCCCTCCACTCAAGGTCTGACATCTGTGTTCACAATCTACATCCAAGCCCAATGAGCTGAGCTCTGGGGCTCCAGCCTCAATAGGCAGCAGGCAGAGGATGCCTCGCCATTTGGCTTCCCACCATTGTTCTATCCATGGCCAAGCTACCCACCCCACCAAGGAGCAGAATAACTGACTCTACAGGAACCAGAGGACAGAGTCCTCTTAAATCAGCTGTAAACTTATACTTTTTTCAACCAGTAAAGTGCTTCTGATAGTTCCCTGGATCACACCTGCCTAATTACTCATTTATTTTCCTGGTCCTTCTGCCCAGAACACTATCTCTGTCTGTCTCTCTCACACTCTCTCTTTCCCACTCTCTCTCTCTCTCTCTCTCTCTCTCTCTCACACACACACACACACACACACAAACTATTCCTGACCAAGTCCAACCCATCTTCCATAACCAAATGCCATCTATTCTCAGGGTCTTCCTTGTCCAACCCCAACCAAGACTGATCACCTCTTCCTTCTGGTTCCCCTAGTACTCGGTTTGTGTTCGTCATGCAGCCTAATCATAGTCCACCTGGCCTACTGCATAGCCTGCATCTTACTGATCCCAAGGTTCTTCAGTGCATCTAGCACGGGCCCCTCCACTTAGGTGTCCAACAGGTAAATCATTCCATCAGGAAACACTAACTGAGAACTTACTGGCTGCATGACTAGGAGCTGAGCTAGGAGCTGCATGCGTGACAAATATAAGGAAATGAACGCGTTCACCTGCCGCCCTCCCTTTTTTTTTAAAAAAAAAAAAAAAAAAAATTGAGAACTTAGTGCAAATTCAATTCCCATGTGTTTGCTTTTTTTCCTATCTCAATCTATTTATTGTGATTTGAGTGAAAGTTTATAGAGCAAATTGGTTTTCCAGTCAACTGTTCATACACGTTTTGTTTCATGACAATGACTGCAGTTCCCACAATGTAACAACTCTCTTCCCATTTCCTCCCTGTGGTCACAATTCCCACTGTTCTCTCTGCCTGTTTTTAAAATTGATTTTTCCCCAACCAACCATTGTCCACATTGTGTTATGATCTTAGAACATGTCTGGTTTCAGTGTTGAGATCTAAGAGTTCGTGATCTCCCTGAATCACAGGCTCCCTGGACTGCTGTGACCCCCTTAATGTGAGCAGATCTCATAATAGGCTGGCTATGCATGTGGGTTTTGTGGAGTAAGGTGGGTGCCACCTTACCTCCCCACCTCTGCCCTGTTCACTGTGGGGATGAGTACATTCTGGGGCCACCTGCTGTCTGCATCTGGAAGGAGTCTAAAAATTTGCGTATTTCAAGCCCCTAACCTTGCAAATAGGAGCTCTGGTAGCATAGTGGCTAAAGCACTTGACTGCTAACCAGAAGGCTGGCGGTTCAAACCCACCAGCCACTCCTCGGAAGGAAGGTTGGGCAATCCTACTTCCGTAGTGATACTGCCTCGGAAACCCAAGGAGGGGTCGCTATGAGTTGGGGCCGACTCAACGGCACTAACAACAACAACAACAACAACCTTGCAAATGGGAACTGGAGGATTCTGGCAGTGACCACAGCTTGTCTAGTAAGTTGTTGGTAACAGAGTTCAAGTGAGAAACCTGGTCCAGGACTGCTCATCTTTGTTCCAGATGTCACAGGCACCCATGTATGAACTCAGCTCTGGTGGCAGGACACAGTGGAGGGGCTACTGCCGGGACCTAGTCTGGATCCTCCTACCTACTTGCTAGGTGACCCTGAAAAGTCTCCACCCCTTGCTGGGCAGTGGGGACAGGAAGATGGCCTGGATGAAAGCTAGCATCCCTTCTTGCTAAAGTCTACAGGATCCAGAGCTTCTCTACTAAGCAAGCCAGCAATGATGCATTTTTCTTCAGGAGGAAATGTGGGCCAGGGGAGGCAGCCCCCATCCCAACCCCTCTGTGATTTTCAGAGTAGCCAGCACTTGCCTTTTGAATCTTGCCCAGTGATTTCTTTGCTAGCCTTCCTGTGGTCCAGACCGCCGTTCACGATATTTTACAGATTTGACTCATCCTTGTTTGGGTTTGGTGTTGCTGTCAACCCACTAGGGCTATGCTTATCCATGACAGGCAATAATTAGCTCACTGCTTAGCAGAAGTGCAGTCTAACAAGAGCTGGAACCTCGACAGTAACTGCAGAGCTAAAAAATCTGCATTTCTTGTTCTTTTCATCTCCCTGACCTGGCACTGCTTGCAGGGACCATGACAGTCTTGGGCCACACCTGCTCCTCCTGCTACTGGCAGGCTTCAGCTCAAGTCACTTTCCAATGAGCCTCCTGGGGCTTCCGGATGTGTGGTTTACGTAGGAGCATTCCTGTGGTGCTGATGGTTTCTTTTAAAGCTACTTATACGCTGCCACTCTCTCCCTCCCTCATGCCCTTACAGCTCTGAAATGTGCTTTTCTTTGCCTATTGCCGACGGCTGGGCAAAGACATTGAAAGCCATGGGAAGCTGGCATGACTTTACGAGTAAAGACCAGTGTGTTTAAAAAACAACAACAACAGGGTCAAGCTTGTCTGTCTGTGTACGGGGATGTGACCTCGCACTGCTTTTAACATCCTACCTGTTACTCAAGAATACATTCCAAACATGTTCCACCCCACGGAGAACAGATCCTCTTCCACTCCTGGGAATGTGCTAGACACATTGGGCAGCTACTGAGAACGGGCCACCACTGAATAGAACCGTACAACCCTAAATCTAGCTCCAGTAGCTCCAGGGAAGCTGTCCTGGTGACACTCTGACTCCCCAGGCTGACCCAGAGGAAGCAGGGCTCCCAACTAGGGTTCAGGGAGAAGACGCCTCGCACTCACCAGTCATGTTGCGCCTTCCTTTGCCTCTTCCGAGCTCGGCTGGGGATGGCACAGTGTGTGGGGAGACAGGCTGCCCGGGATTGCCTTACCATTTATAGAAGCCTCTCCTACACACCCCAATTAGAATTCTAATGAGGTGGGCGAGGCACCAGGTCATTCCTGTAGTGCCTGTAAACGTTTCATTTACGACATGCTTGTCACCCAATGGAAGGTCATCACGCTTATGCAAGACCAGCTGGAAGGGGGGGAGGCAGGTGTAAGAAAGCCACTCACATTGCTCACTTTTATGATTTCTTAAAGACTAACTACTTCCTGGATCATCAGGTTGAGGATATGATGCCATGCTTTTCTCTAAGTGTCTTATGGGGAACGGATTTGGACAAGTCCAACGTGGGTCAAAGAAATATCTTGGCAGAACCTGAAGTAGAAAATCATGAAGTCCTTTCTCACTAGACACATATACTCACTTTTTCCACTGGCATGAAAGATAGGAGATGCTCATCACAGTTTGTTCAGGCGTGCGGCATTTAATTTGGAGTTTGAAGCTCTCGGTTCCCATGCTGGCTGGGTCCTAACCAAACCAAACCAAACTCACTGCCGTCGAGTTGGATCTGCCATCACTAAACCTTGAAGCCTTGGAGGCCTAATGTGTGACTGGGGGTAACCATGTCCAGTCTTCTCAACTCACAAAGTCATGGGATAATCAAATGAGACGATGCAAGTGGAAAGTCCATGTACATGCACTATAATGGATGAAATTCAGATACCATCTGCAATTCAATGGCGGTTTGATTCCACACCAAAACCAAAACCAAACTCACTGCCATTGAGTTGGTTCCAACTCATAGCGACCCTTTTTTGGGTTTCCAAGGCGTTATCTCTACGGAAGTAGATTGCCCAGTCTTCCTTCTGGTTAGCAGTCAAATGCCTTAGGCACTATGCAACCAGAGCTCCTAGTTCGACTCCAGTTGGGGGAAAAAACTGTTCTTTTTAATGAGGCAGTAGGAACAGCCACTGAACTGTGGTTGTAACACACTTTCATCTTGATTCTGCCCTTCCTCTCTGAGAGCAGAGAGTAAGTCACTGCCCATCTCTTGGACTAGCTTCTACACTGGTTTAAAAAAAAAAAAAAAGCAAAAGAGGGGACCTCTGACAGCCTACATTTTTTTGTTTTGTTCTGTTTTATGAGAGGATGTATTTTTCAAAGGACCCTATTGTAAATATTTACAATTATCAAGGTTTCCTGTGATAGGCACCAAACCAAAACCAAACTCATTGCCATCAAGTTGATTCTGACTCATAGAGACCTTGTAGGACAGAGTAGAACTACCCCAGAGGGCTTCCAAGGCCATAAATTTTTACAGAAGCAGACTGCCTCATCTTTCTCTTGTGGAGTGGCTAGTGGGTTCAAACTGCTGATCTTTTGGTTAACAGCTGAGTGCTCTAACCACCGCATCACCAAGGCTCCTTTGTGATAGGCAAGAGGGTTTTTTTTTTTTTTTTTTTTAAGAAGACTGCTTCAAGGATTCATGACCCTCAGACAGTTCTTAAGGCTTTCCCCAGAGTCCGAGTGGGCGATGGTGACTCGGCACCACAGTGATAGCTTGGCTCTTTACAAAGGCAGAATGCTGGATCCCGAGGAAGGTGAGATCAAAAAGGGGTGGATCTGAAAAGAGGAGTCAATGTCTTTTCTCCATCCTGTGGGCCCCCCAGTGTGTTTTTGTTTTTTGATTTTTAGCAAAATGAATCATAGACAACAACAACAACTGTGAATCATGAATAAGCTCTGGTGGTATAGTGCCTAAGGTATTTGACTGCTAACCAGAAGGTTGGCAGTTCAAACCCACCAGCCACTCCATGGAAGGAAGACGAGGCAATCTACTTCCATAAAGATTTACCGCCTCAGAAACCCAAAGGGAGTCACTGAGTCGGAATAGACTCAGTGGCAGTGAATTTGGGTTTTTCTTTTTGTTGTTGTTATTCTATGAATCATGGGGCACCAGTGACATCATGGATAAGGCATTTGGTTGCTAACCAAAAAGTCAGTCGTTCAAACCCACCAGCCACTCCGTGGAAGGAAGATGGGGCAATCTACTTCCATAAAGATTTATAGCCTTGGAAACCCAATGGGTATCACTATGAGTCGGAGATGACTCGAAGGCAGTGAGTTTGGTTTTTGGTTTTCTATGAATCACACTACACTAGAACAGTCTGTTTCTGTCTGTCCCCATTCCTGCACTGAGCTCTGTGATGGTATGGGCTGCATATTATTCATATCTTATACCAGAACCTAGCACAGGACTTGGCACAGAGCAGGAAGACACATATTTTTGAATAAGTGGGTCAGTCAATCACTCAGTCATGGCAAATACAGAAATTACAACTACTATTAATTTACTGTTCACTGTGGGCAGGTACTGGCTAAATATTTTATCTTTTTTCACCTTCATCTCAACTCTATGACATAGCTTCTATTATTATGACTATAATCTAAACCAAGTCTAAAAACCAAAACAAAACTCACTGCTATCGAGTCAGTTCCAACTCATAGTGACCCTCTTTGAGTTTCCGAGGCTGTAAATTTTTATGGACGTAGATTGCCTAGTCTTCCTTCCGTGAGTGGCTGGTGGGTTTGAACTGCCTACCTTCTGGTTAGCAATCAGATGCCTTGGGCACTACGCCACCAGAGCTCCTTTACACAAGTCTAGGCAACTAGAAAAAATTAGACTTGAGATTCACACTCAAGTAGCAGATTCTAGAGCCTGTTTGCTTGGCCTCTAAGGTCAACTGCCTCCAAGTATGGTATGAATTTGGCCTGTCCCAGGTCTCTGGGGTGGCTACTGTCTGCCAATAGGTATAGCTCCAAGACAGAACTGTACCTCTGCCAGGCAGAATATGACCCAGTGTTGACTCTGGCAGGTGACTGAAAAAAAAAAAAAAAAGATAGCTGAGAGCAGAGAAATGTACAGCAAAGGGTGCTGGACTTCACTTAGGAGGTCTGTATGTGAGTCCTGGCTTGGCACAGCACCAGGCACTGCTCACCATAAGAACTTAGTATTGACAATATTCAACAAAACAAAACAAAGCATCGCTATCAAGTTGATTCTGACTCATAGCAACCCCCATTTGGTTTCTAAGACTGTAAATCTTTTTGGAAGTAGATTGCTTCATCTTTCTTCCACTGAGCAGCTGCTGGGTTTGAACTGCCAACCTTCTGGTTAGCAGTCAAATGTCTGAGGCATTGTGCTACCATACAGGCTCAAGTTTGAAATGGGAGATTCTGAAATGGAAGCCACAGTGTGTCCAATGCTGACTGACTACTGGGTCCTCCTTGGCTGGTTAGTCTTGACTCTAGCATGCTGTGGCAGAAAGATGGATTCAGAAGACCAGGGTTCAAATCTGGGCCCTGAGGCATGCCCACCTGTGTGACTTTCACACATTCTTTCACTTCTTTGAGTCTCAGTTTCCTTATCAGCCCCACCATACACATGGGAAGGCTGTAGTGAGGCACAAAACCATGGTGAGATTGTGGCTATCAAGGCCCTCTGCAGACGGAGAAGAGTATATAACCACAAGGAGCCAGCTGTCCTCCTCTGCACACTGCACCAGCCTGCTAACTGATGGTAGGCCCTGCCTCCTCAGCCCATAGGAGCCCTGCCCTGAGTCGACTTAATGCTAGCTGCTGGCCTGGTAGCATAGTGGCTAAGACACTTGCCTGCTAACCAGACGGCTGGCGGTTCAAACCCACCAGCCAGTCCTCAGAAGGAAGGTTGGGCAATCCTACTTCCGTAGTGATACTGCCTCGGAAACCCAAGGAGGGGTCGCTATGAGTCGGGGCCGACTCGACGGCACATAACAACAACAACAACAAGCTGGCCTATTGCACCACCACCAAAGCTACAGCCCCAACCTGGAGGCAGACTATAATTTGCACATTATGTCACAATTTTGGCTAAATGATTTTCAGTTCACAGGTGGAGCCACCCAGCTACACACAGGATGAAATTCCTGCTTGGCTACACTCTCTACAGCTTGGGCTCTAGTTAAGATGGAGAATGCAAATATGGGCTTTTATCTTATTTTATTGTGTTTTAGGTGCAAATGTATAGAGCAGAATTCATTTTACATTCAACATTTTGTGTATATTTGGTTTCACTCCCCAATTACCCTAACCCACTCTCCTCCTCTCCCTTCCCAGTAAACCCTCACCCCCTCCCTGTGCCCTTCTTAGTTGTGCACTCCTGTGTGTTCTGGTTTTCCTCCATGTGAATGCTGCCCATCTGGTGCCCCATGGCTGATTGCTCCAAGGAATGTATCTCCGTAGAGTATGTGGGTGCATCACCTTAGGTTGAGTACTCTGCGTGTACATCTTATGTACTACTGGACTGAGAGCCAGCCCTTTGGAATGAGTTTTATCCCAGGCCCAAAGTGTATCCCAGGGCTGTAGTCTTGGGGCTCCCACCAGACTCTATCCAATCAGTAATTCTGGTCATTATTGTGTTTTTGGATTTTGTTCCATGTTTTTCCTCCCACTCTATCCAGGATCTCCAATTTTGATCCCTTCCTGAGTGGTTGGCGTTGGTAGCTGGGCACCATCTAGTTCTTCTGGTCTCAAGGTCCATCATGTCCTAGGTTGATTATTTCCAAATGCCCCCCCCCTTTTTTTTTTCACTCTTCTTTGCTTTCAATGATAGAAGACAATTAACTGCATCTTAGATAGCTGCTCAAAAGCTTTTAAGACCCCAGTCGCTACTCACCAAAGTAGGTTGTAGAACAGGATTGTTATGTATTTTGTTGTGCCAATTGAGTCTGGTGTCCCCTAATATTATGGTCCTGAGTTGGCAGATCCATTGGATCTCTCTCCCAGTGTCTGGCTGTCTATGAGGGACTGCTCTATGTCTGTCTTCTAGTGCTTCTGTAATGACTGCAGGCATTCTGTATCACCGGGTATCTGTGCAAGATTTGCCTCAGCTGCATCTATCCTTGGTCTAGAGTATAATTCTGTTC